ATTCATGAGAGTTGGCTTTTTTTCTTCTGTATATTTTGGTCTGCCATTTCCATGGACCTCTGAACACCATGAAGCACAGGATGGCCTTTATAATAAGAGTGGGGAGTTTAGGCTCAGTCTAATGCCAAGTCTGCCCCTCCTCTGGCCCCAGTCTGGGCCTCCAGGCCACACCCTCTTTTATGTGACACCACAATTTGCTGATTGGTTGCATAGCTTTTTCGAGGGGAGGGAGAACTGCCATTCTGAAACAACTCTCCTAAGGCAGCTAAGAAGCTAAGAATTTTAAGCTAAAATATGGTGTCACGTTTAACACTGTTCTGAGGGGAGGGAGAACTGCCATTCTGAAAGTTTGAAACAACTCTCCTAAGGCAGCTAAGAATTTTAAGCTAAAATATGGTGTCACGTTTAACACTGTTCTATTACCTTTGGACTCACTAGCCCCCAAAATACTGCTCCCAAATTTTTCTTTCAAATTGAATTTGACCCTTGCATGAAAAGAGGCTCCCTACCATTGCTTTAAAGCTGAAGTGAGCAGACTCTGGAGGTTTGGGAGGCAATATCCTGTCCTAAAGATATGGCCCCTCAGAAAAAAATAGAAGATAATTCTGGAGTTTTAAGCTTCCTTTTATGTGGGCTAGGGTTGGTGTTGGGGCAAAGCAAGATGCATCTTGTTTAAATAGAAAACCAGGATTCCTGTAGGCTTTCCTCAGTGGAAATTGCCACCTTGTTTTAACAAAATCATTTTTATTATTATTTTTTGAGGAGGTGTTGGAGTGAGAAGCAAAAGAGCCCCGTGGCCTCATGTGGTTTTAAGACTATCAGATTTCCACTTCTACTTTACAGGATCTGCTTTCTTGGGAAAAGGAGAGAATTTGATTACAGCTCTATGAAAACTTTTCTGCGGGTTGCATCAGTCAAAAAAAAAAAGGGGGGGGGACACAGTTGAACAGCAACAATGTGAAGACAGTGATATTCTCTCTCTCTTTTTTTTGCAAAGGCAGTGCGGGCCCACAGTCCAACAAGCCCCACGGGGAGCCTGTTACAAAATACAGTCATTCCTTCAGACCAATCGGCAGCTGCAACCACCATGTCATGTTCTCTGGAAACACTGCACATTCCATCAACCTAATACGCTAGTCTAAACAGACTCCACAGATTCCTTGCTTCAATGGAGTTAACATATAACTTAAATTGCCTTAATGAATTGGTGGCTTCCATGTTTAGTAATTTGGAGTGCCAGAGAGAAAATGGTGCTCATGTACCGTGGTAGAAATGTTTTGATGATAATGTTCTAAAGCAGTCATGCTGTGGAATGAAGCTTAATTTCAGCTACATATACAAGGATTTGGACATTCTACTACAACAAATTGAAACAGAGGATTACTAATAATGAGGCACGGAATGCCATTCCAAGTTGAAATAATGGTTTGAATTTTTAGAAGATTGCTGTTGATCTTAGATGTTTGCTGGCAGCTATTATTCAGTACTTGCATGCACTGAACTCTCTTTTCATTCCTGTTTGTTAGTGATTTTACCTTTACTCTCCTGACAACTACAGTCTTCCAGAACAGAATGTTTCATGGAGAAATTTGCAAAAACCAACTAGAGCACTGGTTCTTAACCTTGGGTTACTCAGGAGTTTTGGACTGCAACTCCCAGAAGCCTTCACCACCAGCTGTCCTGACTGGGGTTTCTGGGAGCTGCAGTTCAAAAGCATCCGAGTAACAAAGGTTAAGAACCACTGAACTAGAGCCAGAACATGCACCTATGTAAATGCAGTATTCTGCCAGCTCTGGTTGTTCCTCCAGAATGGACTTCAAACCATACATAAAATGAACAGGGCTGTCTTATAAACAGGGACTTCATGGACTACTGATCGGGAGAAGCTGTGGTTGATTATGTATGTTGCAACTAGAGATGGGCATGAAGTAAAAAATGAATCACCAAGTGCATTCAGAAATCAATACTTCATTGATTTGTATTCATATGGATAATGCCCCAACAAATATGAACCAATGATTTTGTTTAGTGATTTTTGATTTGTCAATTTGTTTGGCTATAAAATGGCCCCTCAGGCACCTAGAGACCAAAATTTCAGGAAAGCTTCCACTAAATCTCCTCTACAATCCCTCTAAGTTTACTGAAGTTTGGGTTTCCACAAACCAGCTGCTAAAGGGCACTTTCCTGGGGGGCACTTTGTGGATGTAGAACCTGGATATCTGAAACTCAATCTTCATCAAACATCTGAATAAAATAAAATAGTAGAACAAACCTTCACAGTATACAGACTGGCAAAGATTTGAACTCAGGACCTTCTACACTATAAGCAACAGCTATGCCTCTAGACCATGATGCCACAATGGAAGCTAATTCTACCATTCAGATATTTATGGTGATCACATGAAAGGGAAATGGCTATCAAATTTCCTTAAGAGAATGGAGCATACACTGTTAATATACATCTTCGTTCCTGCTTCCTCACACAAAAGTTAGTAAGGCTTGCAGTGTTTGGCTCTGTTTCCAGCCTGACAAAACACTAAGTCTAATATACAAAAGATTTCAGTTGCCACTGATGCCTTGAAAGTGCCATCTCTTTCAGCTTGGTAGTAGGATGTGGCTCAGGGGAGGCTTGTTCAGGGCCTTGATTTCTCTGGAAATAGAGATGGGCATGAAGCACTGGTTCAGCCATTCATCCCAGTTCATTTACCTGTGCAACAGGTGTTCAGTAGTTTGGTGCCCTGCACCGTGCAGTGAACACCCACTTGGAGGCAGTGTCCTGGCTTCTCTGCCCCACTTCCTCTGGGCCCTGCCTTTGAGTGGGTGCCCACTGGAGGAGCGGTAAATGAATTTGAGCAAACTGCTGAATTGGTGGTTCATGCCCATCTCTTTCTGGAAAATAATTATTTTAATAGTTTAATCAATAAATTAAATGGTAGTGATACATGCCATGGAAAAAAGGGAAAAAGAAAGGGGAATTAAATGGGGGACAAAAAGACAAAACATATCTGGTTAGTCATTCGGTGAGGCAAAATAAGTAAGGCTGATGTGGATAAATCCAATGGTAGGAATGTGAAGACCTGGAAAAAACAATGTAAAAATTCCGGAAAAGGACTTCCCCCACATTTTTTCCCAGTGGAAAAAATGCAAACTTTGGGAAATGTAGGGAAAAGCCTCCAATAAAATATTTTCTCTTTTGGAACAAGTGAAGTACTTTTTAAGACAAAGTGTTACCTATGGAAAATGCCAGGAATAGCACACTGTGAAGATCTGTATACTGTATAAGAAACCTTATACAAACAGGGGAGGGTAGTTCGTTTGGATGCTGTAAGCAGCACAACGCTAATATTCAAGACGCATTTCTGTAACTAATGTGTGACGCCAATGTCATGAGTAGTAGTAGGATGTCTATGACATGTCGTTTTTTCCCCTGCAACGTATGTTTGAGCTTATGGGTGGGTTTGGACACATTTATGAGTAATCTGATGAGAAAGGCCAGATTACTCATCAAGATGTTTGGAACTTGCTTATGTAGGTTGCAGAGACAATGCTGTTTGAACTTGCTTATGTAGGTTGCAGAGACAATGTGAAATGTCATAGAACTCCCACTAGTCATGAGCATATGGGGTGGCCTTTGCTGCTCTTTGTGAGCATATGGGTGAGAAGGCTTCATTGCTTGTGGACTGCTGCTTGCTTGCTTCTGGTGACCTTTGTTCTAGTTTGGCAGAGACAGCTGCAAGACATTTTCTGTCCAAATAGTACACTTTATCATACTTGTTTCAAAATTTGTGGTTTCTGTTGTCTTCACAGACAGAGCCATTGATGGGCACACTTTTGTTGGCCTAGGTTGCAAAAGGAATTGTCACCAGTTTAGCTGGTTCGAGGGTCTTCCAGATATATAATTAGCAATTTTGGCACCCAGGGCAAGAATGGAACATCGTGATTCTTAATGTGAAAAGAATGCAAAAAGGAATTATAGCACTGAGCAGCTCACCAACATCTCCTCTTCTCTACCAGGGATCGGCAGCACTGTCAGAGCTGTCCACAACAAAATCAAGAGAGAAAGAGACAGACTTCCTGGGACTCTGCAGCTTGCTCAAAGCAATACAGGCTGGCTTCTCTGAGATCTACAGTGGGGAATTGAACTCCCAACCTCCAGCTCCACAGCTGGATATCTAACTCACTGAACTCTCCAGCCAGCTATCATTAGTGTACCATGTATATATAAAGCTATTTTTGTGTGTGTGTGTGTTTCTTGCTTAAAGGTCTGACCTACTGAGATCCTGGTAGACTTGCTACCCCTGCTGCCTCAGTGAAGCCTGATACACCATTACATTTTTTGAGGGCTCCCACTCTACTCGCTGCCTTTCCAATTAAAATGCCCCCCCTCAAAGGACTAGATTTCACGGTGTAGCATTTGTCAGAGATTTGAGACCAGCACCTTTTGCAACCTTAGAAGATTTCCTGCTGTGGTGCCAACAAGCCAGTGAAAAAGTTGTGCTACCCCTGATTAAAATGATGTTTAGCTACTGAGGTTCCTTGGCAGAAAGCGATGCCAAAAGCTAACACACCACTTAGCTTCTGTCTTCTGCCAGTGAGTGAGTGGGTCAGGTTTTCAGCTTAGAGCACCATTGCTTAACTAGATAGGAATTCCTGGGCTTGATTCACAGTGGCGACTTAGCAGCTGACTCCTTTGCCCCAAACAGTATTTATGTGGCTCAACAGAACTGTCATTTCCCCCTTAACTCTCGTAGGCATAAAAATATATTGAAAAATAAAAGTTCGGAGTCCATGCCGTGACTCGGATTCGAACCGAGGTTGCTGCGGCCACAACGCAGAGTACTAACCACTATACGATCACGGCTGGAGTGCTGTTGCCACTCTGTGAGCGGCTAGTCTTTCTGAAGCACAGCAGATTTCTTTCAGTATGATGTGCCAAAACATCAGCCTATTGGGATATGTCCAGAGGTTGTGAGAAGTGAGATTGAAGAGCAGCTAACTCGGGCACCATAGCTTAGGAGGTTAAAGCATCTGCCTTGTAAGCAGGAGATCCTGGGTTCGAATCCCAGTGGTGCCTTTGCATTTTAGTTTAGAGATGGGAACATCTATTTTTCTGACCAGTGAGGCAAGAAGTGCCAGATGTCTTTGCAATGAAAAATAAGAACCTCCTTCCCCCAGATCAAAGACACAGTGGACTTCTTATCATGTTTGAACCCAGAACCTCTTGTACTATAAGATATTACAAGAATGTTTCAGTATGTTTTGGATCCATGAGTACATTTTGATTTTCCAAGCAGTATTTTGGGAACGATAAAAATCTGTTAAGAGGAAGGAGTTGCAGAATGGTTGACATGTGATGTGGTCAATCAGAAAACTGCAAGAAAACACCAATTTCATGATAAACTGGAGAGACTAGATGACAGATGCAGTTTCATCAATGTACATTTTTTTTGCCTCAACAAAATGCTTCCTTTACAGAAAGGTAATCCAGTTTCCACAAAAGGTCTACACAAATTCTTCTCAATTTAGTTCCCCATTTTTGTTTCCCTGAATACTACATGTAACACCATGATTTCCCTTTCAGAGTATTCTCCCTCTAAAGAAACAGGGGCTGTAATCATACAAGGAAGCAGATTGCTTCTTGGACGGCTTGCGGTGGAGTCTAAAGTGTGATCTATTTCCCTGCAATTACATGACATATGGTGAATTGCGCTCCAGCCTGACCCCAATCTGTGCCCAAGCTAGCCTTTTTTTTGATCCAGCTGTATGGTTACTACTGGACTGGAATGATTCCTCGGCAGGCAGAATAGTTGCTTTAAAAGGAGATTGCTCCCTACAAAGCGACCCTTTCCGGTGCAATTGGATTTTGCTGCTGTTCGAGCGCATCAGAACTGTCATGCACTCATCCAGTCATGATGTTTCCCAGGCCCCTACAATCACAATCACAATCACAACTCTCCCTTCTTTTACACCCTCTATGGCTTTCCCAGTCCTTTTCTTCTTTGAAAATATATAAGTGCAACACCTGAGACTAGAGTGAGCACTGGCACCAGCTGGAAATGGATGGAAGCTTCAAGGAAGAACCAAACTTTCTTCTCCCGCCAGGGTTGTAATTAAGGCAAAGCAACCAGGGCTTCACCATAGGGTACCAGCATTTATGAAGGGTAGCCTGTTAGTCTGTGCTACCATGTCAGAAACAAAACAAATAAACAACAACAACAACAAATAAAGATGACGAAAACATTGTGGCACCTTAAAGACTAACTGCTATATTTTAATATGGACAAGCCCACTTCTTCAGACACGAGAGTGGGACAGCATGGCAAATATTTATAAATTTGTACATGGCTCCCAAAAGGAAGAGACATTGCTTCCTGGGTACTGGTATTTAGAATGTGCTAAAATCTAGATGCAAATCTACTGATGATTGTTGGGGGGGGGGACAATACCTTTCTATAGACTGAATTTCTTTTTTTTTCTTTTTCTTTTTTGGAAAGCATAAACCGTCTCTTCTTTGGGAGAGGGGCACTATATTCTGCTCCTCCTTTTTCTTGGTTTGGGACTCACGACTATGCCTCAGTGCAGAGTGGATGAGAGACAGTGCCTCTTTTCGGCCAAAGGCAAAATCTCTAGATATGGCTCCGCCACCCACACATGTCAGACTTCCTCCTCTTCCGGTGCCCTTGCCCTGAGATTTTCATCCTTGCCTGGAGATCTGGGCAAGCAGGGCAGTGTCCTGGTGCTCTGAGACCTGGTAGCCCTAAGAAGTTATCTGTTATGCCCATGGAGTCCTTGTTACCAAATCCCATTCTACATCAATTGGGCAGACAAGAGGACCCGTTAAGAATCAATATCATCCATATCAGGGCTGGCTAAGTGTCGTCTGAGAGACACACATGCCTCCATTCTTTTTTTGCGGGCTCCAGGCCCAACGTTTCAGCCTCTTTTCTAGTGTGCTCACATGTATGCGTGCGCTTGCCCGCGCCCACACGCACATGCACGCACACGCACACGCACACCTTTTGTGGGCTCTGGGCCCAACTTTTCAGCCTCTTTTCTGGTGTGCTCACATGCATGTGCGTGTGTGTGTGCATGCGCACGTGCGCGCACACACACACACTTCCGCCCCCAAATTATGCACTCTCAGGCCTCACACCCAGAAGCCAGACAAGAGGTTGTTCTGCACTTGAAGCAACTGTGGCACTTACACAGAAAAGTTTTGCTGTTGTGCCTCCCTGGGAGGAAACGGGACACATTGTTAATCAATCCAGAGATGCCCTATTGCCCAAGTGGGTCAGGGGAGACAGGCACCTTAACCATGCTTGTTCCATAAGCTACTCCAGAATTTACCTCTTTGCTTCTGTCTTCAAGGAGTAAATGAGACATAGCTAGAGCATCTGGCACTATGGCTAAGCTGGTTAAAGCACCTGTCTAGTAAACAGGAGATCCTGGGTTCGACTCCCAGTGGTGCCTATGCAATTAATTTTGTTTTTGGCCCTGACAGTATGGATGTGGCTTTGTTGGGGCTTTTTATTATTACCTGAAATGAGATGAGAAAGACATACAAATTTGAAGTCTGTGTCAAGGCAAGGATTTTAAGCAAAGTTGCCTTAGTCACAGAGTAGTTACTTTTACAAATTAACAGCCAGGAGGTTGGATTCATTTGCTGTAGCCAGAGGGAAGAGGTTCCAGGGAGGCCGTGCTTGATGTCATAAACAAAAGGGTTTCTCTGAATGTCTTTATTACAGAATAATATAAAGGCCTCCTTCATTTAAAAGAAAAAAGCACAGAAAGTCCTAAGACCATGAACAGGATTTATCTGGATTTGTACTGAAGTCCTTTTTTATGCTGTAACTGAGACTTTTATATAGAGAGAGACTTTTATTTATATAACTAATATATTTACCTGAAGTAAATATATTGTAGATTTAATTTGAAGTTTTGTCTGCTTTTTTTGTTTAACGTCTTCATTGTTGTTTATTATTGGATCTTAGTTTATGTTGTGGGTACTTTTATTGTAAGCTACCCAGAATAGTGGCCTGGCTACTAGATGGGCAGGGTAAAAAACCGAACCAACCAACCAACCAACCAACCAACCAACCAACCAACCAACCAACCAACCAACCAACCAACCAACCAACCAACCAACCAACCAACCAACCAACCAACCAACCAACCAACCAACCAACCAACCAACCAACCAACCAACCAACCAACCAACCAACCAACCAACCAACCAACCAACCAACCAACCAACCAACCAACCAACCAACCAACCAACCAACCAACCAACCAACCAACCAACCAACCAACCAACCAACCAACCAACCAACCAACCAACCAACCAACCAACCAACCAACCAACCAACCAACCAACCAACCAACCAACCAACCAACCAACCAACCAACCAACCAACCAACCAACCAACCAACCAACCAACCAACCAACCAACCAACCAACCAACCAACCAACCAACCAACCAACCAACCAACCAACCAACCAACCAACCAACCAACCAACCAACCAACCAACCAACCAACCAACCAACCAACCAACCAACCAACCAACCAACCAACCAACCAACCAACCAACCAACCAACCAACCAACCAACCAACCAACCAACCAACCAACCAACCAACCAACCAACCAACCAACCAACCAACCAACCAACCAACCAACCAACCAACCAACCAACCAACCAACCAACCAACCAACCAACCAACCAACCAACCAACCAACCAACCAACCAACCAACCAACCAACCAACCAACCAACCAACCAACCAACCAACCAACCAACCAACCAACCAACCAACCAACCAACCAACCAACCAACCAACCAACCAACCAACCAACCAACCAACCAACCAACCAACCAACCAACCAACCAACCAACCAACCAACCAACCAACCAACCAACCAACCAACCAACCAACCAGACAGATCTTAGTGCTGTCTTTTCCTATCCCCTTTTGTCACTTGGTTATGAAAGAGCACATAATTTGTGGAGATTTGCACTGTTGTTCTCCTCCTGGAGGGGCTATTGGGGCAATTTATTTCCTGTCTCCTTTGCCCCCATGGTGGTCTTCCCGTTTCCCTCTGGAAACCCTCCATCACTTGGTTGCATCCCCTTTACTTGTCAGCCTAGTACAGTACTTTGCTCTTCATTTATGGAGGAGCCATAGGTTGGGAGATGGACAGGAAGACTGGATGTGACAGAGCTGCCCTGTGCAGCTAGCTGATTGACCACACAGAGAGACACAGAATTCTTCAGTTTTGGAGACAGAAAATGAATTTAAAAACAAACCTTGGAACCATACTTACACTCTGCAAACCTTCAAACTCTGAGATACCAGCAACTCCATTGGCTCTTTCCCTCAAAAAGGGTGCTGGGAGGAAGACACTGCACACAATGTGGCTGAGCATACAGGGAGGCAGTGACAGAATCCCTCAGTTTCTAGCACAGGGGGCAAAACCATGCTTACAGCCTCTCAAGCACACAGCCTTTTACTTGATACATTAGCAATAATACTAGGAATTGCCATGATGCTCATCTCCTGCTCATGGTATGAAACTGTACAAAAAAAAAGAAACCAATTTTTTTGTGGGTCAGAAACATCCCGGTACCCAAGGAGAAATAAAATGCTGTATAGAACAAGATAAGAGGAGTATATGCAGATATTGAGGGAATTTCTGTCAAGATCAGGGCTTAATGGCAAAGAGTCTTTCTGGCAGGGTGAATTCTTGTTGCTAACCTGCCACATCACTCTCGTTCTCTGGCTAAGTAGCCATAGCATGGGGCACCATGGCTAAGCTGGCTAAAGCATCTGTCTCGTAAACAGGAGATCCTGGGTTCGATTCCCAGTGGTGCCTTGGGAAATAACCTTTTTGGCCCTGGCAGGAAGGCATCTGGTGGGTTGCTGAATCCCCGTGTGACTTTCTGAGGAAAAAATGACGCCATCTATGTACTGAATGGGAAGCTCAGCTGACATCGACTCCCTCTGAAGCCTGAGGGCAGAGCAGATGTTTTTGGGCACTGGCCTCTTAAAATTTAGGCAGAATATGTAGGGAGCAGAGAGGCAGAGGAGTAGCCAGAACTATAATGAGCAATTTGGGAAAGCAGGACAAAATGCACTCCCAAATTGACATTGTACATCATAGTGTGAAAATAATACAAGACGTAATTCCAGCACTGAACATCTTGCCAGCATGCCCCTCCTCCACAGGGGATTGGCAGCACAATCAGAGCTTAAAAAAAGAAAGAAAAAAAGATCAAAGTGTTTCTTTCTCATAGCACAACCATCAGTGATCAGACTTGCAGTTTAAGGCTGTGGGATGAAATACACCTCTCTTGGGGGGAGGGTTCTGCAAAAGGTGCTCCATGTATTGTCTCTGTGGCCTCTGGTACCTGTTGGAGCGCTGGAGTTTTTAAGTTCATCGTTATGTTGTCTTGTGGGTTGAACGAATTACACTTCTTACTGTCTGGCCAGGATCTACAGCTAATTAGTTTCATAATATAGATTCATATTTGATAGTGACTTTTAAAAAGTGACAATTTAGGGTTTTGGAATGCTTGGCCTCCAAACTTGGCCATCCCTTCACCTATTGCAGCACTCTGTGCCATATCTTGTATTGTTCCACAGGGTCCCCCAGTCATCAAGAGGGCTTTTGGGGGAATGTTGGAGGTTACAGCAGATAGAGAGAATCAGCAAAAATTGGTCACCCTGGGTGGTGCTGCTTAAGTAGGGTTTCCTGCTACAATAACCAAGAGTGTCTTGAGGTATCTCTTTTTCCACAAAATGTGGAAATAGATTTATGATCACCTGCTACATTTCTTCTTTGGGACAACTGAAACATAATGCTACAAATACTGTAAATAGTCTTCCATGAATCTCTTCTATCCCATCCATTATTTGCTCAGCTTAAAAGCTCCCAGGTCTATATCTGCCCATCCTAGAAAATATGCTGCAAAGCCTCTTTTCGGGTGTTACCACTCTGTATTATACCTTGATGTTCAGACTTGGCCTGGTTAGAACTGATGTACTTTCCATCAACTACATTCTGAATTAATCAATGAGTACCTCTTGCACCCTTTTGCAGCGTTTCCAGACATATACTCTTTCTGAAATGGAATGATCAAATTTAGTGGTCTAGAAGATGCAGAATTTGTTCTGCCTTAAAGCCTGGGCTATGTGCCAGTCTTACCAGAACTGTTTTTGACAATCCTCTTCTTACCTCATTTTGTACAGGTCTTTTCACTGCAGCATCTACATTTTTTTTTTGTTTCATCAGCAACTGGGATTTTGTTTGTATTCTCTCTTGTACCAACAAATTCCACACCTCTGTGGAATTTTTCACATACCCCTGATTTCTTGGCTGCACTCTACATTTGGACTGATAATTGAACCAAGGTATGCAAAATTATTTTTGAGTAAGAGCCTTAATATTTGAACCAAAGCTGACAAAGCTTCTGTGAAGAATATTGAAACTGGACTATCATGGTCATTTGCGGAGGAGAGTCCACTGTCAATCTGAGAGATAAGGGTGGACTGGTGTCATCACAACACAGTTGCCAAAGAGTTTCCAATGCTATTTTTTTTAAAGGAAGGAATAGTTTAGCCATCCCCGCTGCCCAAGCTCCTTGGAAAGAGAAGTTTAAAAATATAGCTATCCTTCTGACCCTTGAGAAATAGGTTGCTTGAGATTTTAGGCTGAGGCTTTTCAGAGCCTAGGAATACTATGTACATCTTGAGTTGCAGCCTCCTGTGTACTTAAAGCATTTATGCCACCCGTATTGAAACAGCCTTGTTGCTGGCCCTCGCAGGCAAAAAGGAATATATATTAATTATGAACTACTTGCTCCTGTCTACTGGCAGTGCCTGAGCCAGGCCTAAAGTGTCTGGCACTGTGGCTAAGCTGGCTAAAGTACATGCCTAGTAAACAAGAGGTCCTGGGTTTGATTCCCAGGAGGTAGGGTTGGTTGTTTTTTTTTTTGCCTAAGCTGTGTGGATCTCACTCTATACAACTCCTCGAGAGCTATTTCTGACTTTTTCATATGGGGGTAGGAGGAGGATGCAAGAACTATAAAACCAGTAATAGAAGAAGTTGTTTTTTGGGACTGTTTTCTATGGGTATTCTGTGAACCGTAGTTCAAAAAAAAAGGGGAAAATTGTTTTTGAGCTTTGCATAAAATCCGAGAGTTTATGCCGTGACTCGGATTCGAACCGAGGCTTCTGCAGTCCCAGTGCAGAGTACTAACCACTATACGACCACGGCTGCTGCGTCACTGCTGCTCAGTCTGGTCTCCTGAATCTTTCAAGGACAAAGCAGGTCTCCTTTATCAAGACTGACAAAACGTCGAACCTCTGAGGGAGGTGAGAAAGAAACTATTATAGCTCAGGCTGGCAAGGTATCTGCCTTCTAAGCAGGAGGCTATGGTTTCACCTCTCAGCATTGCTTCTGTTTTCCTGCTTAAAGGCAGAAGCAGAGCTCTTCCATTTTTCTCATAAAATATGGGGAAAAGATTTCTCATAGATATTTTGCCAAAGAATCCCAGATACTGCATTCCCATCCCAAACATAACCCCAAATTTAAAATTTACAGCTGATCTTTGTCTGGGCTACCTGAGATTTGAACCTGGGCTTCTCTGCTTCTAAAACTGAAATCATACCTCTAGGCTAACAATCCAGACAGAAAATTTGGCTGGACATAAGGCAGTTGTACCTCCTCTACCGCAGGACTCTGCTGAGTGTCTAACCAGGCAATATGTCTTGCAATATTCCTTGCAATTCCAGTTCCCCTTCAGATACAGATTTGAACTGATTTGAACATTATGCCAGATAGCTCAGCTGACTAGGTGTGTTTGTGAAGGAAATCCGTCATCATTGGAGTCGGTAGATTACAATATATGTGTTTCAGTTTTATATATCTATGTGACTGCAGTTTGCTTTCATTTGTGTTAAAAACAGTTTAATTATTATTATTTTTTAAAAGGAGGGAGTAGTTAATTTTACATGGTATTGAATATTCTTAATCGGGACAGGGCTTTGAGTGGATCTGGAAACTATTACAGCATCCACAGCTTTATTACCACTAATCCAAATGCAAATTCTAATGCTAATGCTTTCTTTAAATCAAAATGTTTCACAATTCAGAATCATGGATGCACATGAAATACGGGCAAAATCAAAAACTAATTAAAATGCCAAGACCAGACTATTTTTGACCAGAATCAGGCAGAATTTGAAATGTGTGCAGAACCTTTACTTGACTTTAGCTGTTGTCCAGGGAGTCAGTGTCCATGAAGTGGGTGCGCTTGGTGCTGTTCCACTGCAATGCTTCTGGAAGTGAAGGATTTGCCAGCTGCACACCATTGCCCGAGGAATGCAGGAGTGTACTCACAATGCTTTCCCACTCTTTGGGGAGTCTCCTTCTATGTCCTCCATGCTAATACTAATGTTAGGGAATTACTTCTGCACTTTACCATCTCCCTCTCCTATACAGACATCTGCACATGGTTTCAGATAATGTGCTGTACATGCAGATGCTTGGATTATGGGCACGTGATATAACGGCATTAGTAGGCTATGTTTAGATCCTCCTCCAGGGTTCACCATTGCACATTGTGTAAAATGTCCTTCATATGGATTACCAGTATATGTTTCATTTAGGGTTGCTGGTGTGCAGGACTAGAGAGTTTGGCAACCTTTCATTCCCTGAAATTCCACTCACCTTTTGATCAGGAGATGGGCCACTGTGGTCATGGGAGGGGTGTGTGTGTGTGTGTGTGTGTGTGTGTGTGTGTGTGTGTGTTGTACAACAATTGGAAAATTGTGTATACTGGAATATTGTGCAACAAAGAAAAGGTCATAAGTGGTGATGCTAGCACTCCATCCTCTTATCTTCCTCCAAACAAGAATCACCCTTATGCACACACCTGCCAGCTCTCTGTCTCTTTAGTCCCTTCCTTTGTTCCTGTTTTTTTATTGGGTGGGCATCAGCACTTTGCAGGTGCAACACATATGCCAACACATTCAAATTGAGACAGTGAGGCTTGGTACCAACTGCAATTTGGTGCCGGTGAGTGCCTAGGCTTTAAAGCCAACCCAGGAACAAAGTCAAATGTTCCTTTCCTCCAGTGCTGCTCACCATGAGATATGTTCCTCCACCCACAGATCCAGAGAAGCACAAAGACTTCAGCTGGCATGCTGAGATCTGGCAATCCTACTCAGAGTACCGGCTGGTGTCAGGGAATAGCTGTGTTTGCCTGAGAGACAAAGCTCAGACTGAGTGGCAATGGAAAAGAAGAAGAACAAGAAGAATGTTTGAATTTTATATCTGAGGTGGCTTTAAACCCTAGGCATTCTAGGCCTGGCCATCTCCACCAATTCTTAGTTTGTGGTAGCGTCCACTGGATCAGTATGAAGGTATCTGCCTATGTGTTTTATGTACACAGTGTCAGCAACATCAAAAGCCAGAAGTGAAGGGAAGGAACTGGAGAGGGCTTTCTATCACCTTCCTATTGCATAAGCCAAGGGAGCAGTGGTACAGGACCTTTTAGAAAAATGCTATGGACCTTTTACATGTTGCACAAATAGCAGCAGTAGAGTGTTTGGAAAAAAAACCCAATGTGCCAGGTGTGGTGTAGGCAAGCCCATGTGGGATGTGATTCCTAATAGGAGCACCAGCCAATTTTGCAGGTGCTGATTGGGCTTTGCTTCCTCCCAGGCTGCCACATTAGGGTTTAAAAACAATACTGGAGCTTTTTCCATATGTTACTTTTGTGCTGATTTGGGGCAGAACTGTCTCAACAACCAACTGGAAGCATTTCTGCTCCCTTCAATTCTTGTGTTCACTGCCCAAAGGATATCTCAAGGACACATGCTTGTGACATCCCAACAGCCTGTTCCTGGTCCCAAGTTTTGTGCCTGAAATTTTAAGGAAGCAGAAAAATATATATATTTCTATATCTATTTCTATTTCTATTTCTATTTCTGTATCTATATCGTCTATATCTATATCTATGTCTATATCATCTATCTATCTATCTATCTATCTATCTATCTATCTATCTATCTATCTATCTATCTATCTATCTATCTATCTATCTATCTATCTATCTATCTATCTATCTATCTATCTATCTATCTATATTTTTCTGGGTTGTTCCAGGCAGCGTGGCCAGATTAGAGAAACTGTAACTGCAGAAGCTTCTGTGCTGCAAGGGCGGAAGACCAGCAGTCGAAAGTTTGAATCCATGCGATGGAGTGAGCTCCTCTCGCTTCTCCCAGCTCCTGCCAACCTAGTAGTTCGAAAGCATGTAAAAATGCAAGTAGATAAATAGGTACCACCACGGTGGGAAGGTAAAAGCATTCCGTGTCTAGTCATGCTGGCCACGTGACCACAGAAACTGTCTTCGGACAAATGCTGGCTCTACGGCTTGGAAACAGGGATGAGCACTGCCCCCAGAGTCGGACACGACTGGACTAAATGTCAAGGGGAACCTTTACCTTTACTAGTCCCAAAAAGTAATTTTTCCAAGCTCTGAGTGCATTGCAGATTTCTTAGATTCTAGAAAGTTCAACAAAAATGTAGTAATAAAATGATGTGCATGTGTATGCTTGTGTGAGAGCATGTATGTTTCAGAGAGAGATTATTGTGCCAGTAAATAGGAAGAGGCAGCACAAAATATCTTGGAAGGCAGCCAATCTCTGGTTTTGGCTTTCTCATCAATACTTCCCAATCTCTTTTGTTGAGAGGGGTAGCTCTTCAGATGCCCTCAGGTCAACACCACCAACATTGACAGAAAGGTGCAATTTTTGGATTGGCACCCTCATAAATGATTTCTTTGTTCGGCTTTCAAAGAAGAATTGTTATAGAGCAGGATCTCTTTTTCAAATTGATGGGACATAAAAAAATTGAAACAAGAAATAAAACCCTTCACAGGGATGGTTAATGGCTTTATAGCATTATTTCAGAAATGTGACCACACAGCAATTATGCTTTTCAGATACAATTTCTTGTCCTTGATGGAATGGTGATTGTATCTCCTTCTATAGAGTCTTAAGGCAGCTTCTCCACTTGAGTGCAAACTTATATTTCATGAACCCAGGCAGTGTTCAAAACAAAAGCAGCAATTTGACCAGCTCTTCTTCAATGGATGGAAGAAACTAAGGACTGCTAGATTTCAGTGACCCAAGCAAATGGTTAGAAAATGTCAGACATACAGAATTTTCAAAAATGTGTACTTGAAAGCTAGTTATCTCAATCAGTGCAGTGCTGGAAAGGAGCTATATTTCTCCTTTGCTTGTAAATCAGCAGCACATCAGCACACATAAATGTTCTTCCCCAATAAGAAGAGGATTAAGCTAAAAACTAGAGAGAGGGGGCTTCGTTTTACCTCTTCTTTAAACAAATCAGTTAATCTTATTTTTGCAGCTTGTGAGCTGTGATATTTTGCCCTTATTGGGAAATTCTATATATGCCTACTAAAAAAAGTAAGTAACTAGAGATATAAGTAGAAGAGGACAGCTTGGGCTTTGTGGCAGGGTGCCAAATTTAGAAGGCAAAAAATAAAAATAAAAATAAATAAGGCCAACGCAGGGTGCCAAATTTAGAAGACAAAAAATAAAAATAAAAATAAAAATAAATAAGGCCAAAATGTTGTGGCTCCTTAAAGACTAACTGCTGTATTCTAGTGAGAGCTTTCATGGACAAGTCCACTTCCTCAGACATAAGAGTGGGAGACGACATGACAAATATTTATACATTTATACATGGCTCCAAATCAGTGGCTGTATTTGGGCACAAGTTGCTGATCTGGCAATGATTTTTTTATAACCCTTGTTCATATTCAGTCCCCCCCCAGGAAGTTCTGTAACTAATGCAACAATTGGTGGCCAAATTAATCCCAGGCATAGATAATGAGCAGGAACAATATGGTAATATGTAGGGGGACGATTTCTATAACATTTCATATTTTCTGTATAACCTACATTTGAACCCATAAGCAAGTTCAAACATGTTTATGAGTAATCTGGCTTTTCTTACCGGATTACTCATAAACATGTTCAGACCCACCCATAAGGTGAAACATAGGTTGCAGGAGAAAAAATGATATGTCATAGAAATCCTCCCTCTAGTAATGAGTATCTAATCAACCAATGGGGCTTCTGTGGTGGCACTGACAGATTGGAAGGAAATATAGTTGGGAATTGCAGCAGATACAACACAATATATTACATTTTATGATGATCTAAGAAACATTATATAGAGTC